GCTCGATGTGGCAACGCTGCACTGAGCGATATCGACAAATATTATTTCGCTCTGCATGATTTGGTGTATTACTTTCAGTCGTAGAATTTTTTTATATTTTTGAAATACTAGTAATATAATATTTTCTATTTCATTAATATTTTGAATTACGTATTTTTTGGAAATAACTAGTAATTTTTATAATAAACATTGCATCTCATTTATCGGTTTTGAAAATTGTAGGAGAAGAGCATAAATATCATTTTGGAATTATTCGAAACAGTTTCCAGAAATTTCTATTCGAGTTGTGATAATTTTTCAAGGAAAAAATATTTAGGGAAGAATAAAAGGTGATATGGATGGACATGCGATATAGAACAAATTGTCTATTTTTATATGAGTGAAATATTTATTTGTTTTTTTATAAATTTACATTTCCTAATTCTTTTCTACAGTTTTCTCTTATGTTCAAGTTCCTTGTTGCCCTTGGATCAACTAGCTCCAAGTTCTTCCATTCGGAACCATTTCGTTTAACCAGAAGTTCTCATCTTTATAAATCTAAAAAAAGGACATTAATAAAGTTAAAAAAAAAAGTTAATAAATACCTAGTTACCTCTTTAATTAAGCAACCTTTTGGACTCCATATAAGTAGCATTTTACTTTTTTTGTTATTGCTAATTGCCCTTGGACCTGAAAGTAATATTCATGACTTCTATTGAGTGCGAAGGAATCATTTTCAAGTTTGGCATTTTTTATTAAGTTATTAAGCACAACGTATGTTTCGGAAAACAGATTTTTTCATCTTCTGGTGCAGTCAATTTATTTTTAAAAAACAAGGGGAACGAAAACAAACAAATTAAAATGCTAAAACCCTATCTTTTGGACATTGCACAAACAAAACCATATCTACTTAACAAAATAAAAAATTGTAAAAATAATATTGTTACTAATAATGAAAATTCCACTGCCTTAACAAAACACGCATTGGAAAATTTGCATTCTTTCGATTTTAAAAATGTAAGAATTCTCGAAAATGAACCAAAATACAATAAAAAAACAATACTTGAGATGATACATATTAAAAAAAAAAATAATTCTGTAAATAATAAAACTGACATAAAAGATCTGTCAAATGTATATTTTAATTTAATTAACTAATTGTAACCTTTTTAATTTTTAAGCTTTTATTGTAACGCCACTGCTTATTTTCATCCAGTACAATTGTACTAGATTAGCAAAACTCATTTTCATTTGAGATTTGAGGACATCGAAATTGGGTTAGCCAAACGTTTAAAAGAGACAGGCAACAAAGTGTTGAAAGAATAATGCTATAAAACGGAACGTTACTAATTATCCATATCAAAACATAAGACACCGTAATTTTGGCAAAAAAAATTTACAAACAGTAGCTCAAACAAACTTAATACATACTACGATACACATAACAAACAAACTTTCGATTCAAAATTCGTCCAAACCGCGCAATGACGTAATACGGGACGTACTTTCAAGTTATTTTGACACTTTTCGATTGAATAGTGTAATATAATTTAATAAATTATTTGTTTTTGTATTAATAATGACTATATTTTCCTATATATAGCAGGGAAGAACTACATAAATGTTTAAAATGCCAGGCTGTGCGGTGGAGATATTTCCGAATGCCACAAAATATGGGTAAATTCTTATCAAAGAAAGGACAATCTTAATTAAAGTTGCCCTATCCACTTTGAGGAAAGTAGTTGTGAGATTCCTCTTAAACATAGACGCAAGAAAAGGAAACTGAATTCCATCAGGTGCACGGGCCTCATTAAGCAAAGAAAATAAATCGGTATTTTAAAATTTTAGGAGATAAAACAGTAGTTTCCTGTCCCAATATAATGGTCATTTTGAAGTAATACCATGCCTGAGCAGGACACGAACATATATATATATATATAAGAATAAAATAAATGAACAGAAAAATTGGTTTTAAGTATTTTTAAAGTAAACTTGACAAAAAATGTTTAAATATACCAAATAAAAGTAATTTTTTGTGTACTTACTTTTTTTAAATAAATAATTTGTTTCTGCATACTTATTTTTATTTCACATAATAAGAAAAGAATTTGAATCAAACTTGTATTTTTAGTTCATATTTTTTACTTATCGCCAGGTTATATATTTTGTGACAAAATACCTATAATTTATGAGAAAGCTTAATATTTTTATTAGTATTATTTACCTGAAACCTTCATATTTGTAAACGAATATATTACAAAATAACCAATAAAGTTTAGGTAACTGCATAAAAACTAAAATTGGAAAAATATCGAAATTTAAACACTATCTCTCATTTAATGCTTACAATTATATGTCTTACGTAACGTCACCCTGAGTCAGCTGCATTCGCAGGAACATACCGTTAGTCAGTGTATCATGAATATATACGTAATGTAATTATATGTCGTCAGGGCGACGTCAAATACACGTTGCTGGTTAGGATATTGTATTTCGGATAAATAAATACTAAAAAATTACGTCATAATGATCTCTATTGACGTCTAATTAACGTTGCAAAAACGACGTCAAAGTAACGTCATTAATTGGGATAATGACGTTTCTGATGAGTAAATCGCAAAAAATCACGTTATAATGACGGCACCTTGCTGCTTGGGTACTTTTGGCCTCTATGGGCCATTATCAGGTCTAATATTTAAAAAAAGAAAAGAGTAAGTATGTCCAATAAGTTCTAGTCCAGAAATTGTCTGATTACGTGGTAATTGAAAAATCAAAGTTGTATCAGAAGTACAAGTTAAAAAGGTGGGTTATCTTGAAATTATAGAAGAGGAGTGGGGTCGGAATTAACTCGAGTTATAGAAAAAGGGGAGGGAAAGGGTAAATAAAACCGATTCCCGATATCCTCGAGAAGGAACTGTCTCATAAAGTAATAACTTAAAAGACTACCAGGAATCAGTTTTATAAGCTATTAGGGTAAAAAGAATGTGGAGAAAAGAGGGCAATGTAGAGGGAAAGAGTGACAGTGGTGTGTTAGATTGCTGTGAAAGTAGAAAGAGGGGGGGGTGAACATAACGAAAAAATAGATGTCTAATGTTGGTACAGAGGCTTCTGTGCTTGCTTAACAAGTCAAAATTTGTGACAAGTATGATATGGTAAAAAGGATCTAAAAACGGTGAAAAAACATAAAGAAAGGGCGAAAGAAAGTGTCACGAAACCAGAAAAGAGATAAAGAAGGGATGAGAAAGGAGAGGAAATCAAATTAGGAGTAGAAAAGAAAGAGTAGGAAAAAGGAAAGGGAATAGTAGAGAAAGAGGAGGAAAAACAAAAGAGAATAGAGGAGAAATAGGAGGAAAAGGAATAGTGTAAAGGGAAATAAACAAATTAGGAGAAGAAGAAAAATAGTGCCTTAGCCTAGGTATAAATTGATAGGAAAGCATCTTCCTTAACTATTTTATCAATTACCACATAATCAGACAATTCTTGGACATTTTTAATGATCAATATGCCTCATCTTCTTATAGAGCTTGATTTTTACTAAAAATTTCAAGTTGATATCGCTTTTCATTTTTGATTTATGATTTTTTGTTAATTTCAACCCCGCTTAAACCCCCCTTCTGTGTTTGGACATGTTTTTGTATTCCATTTTTACATATATCTACAATACTATCACATACATATCATGAACCCTAAAAAACAAATTTTTCCTTCTTTTTTGAGACGTCATGCATTTGTTTATATTAAAAACACGACTCAGCACGTTCTAAGCCGCGTGCGAAGCAGTTATTATTATTGTCATAATATGAATTGTTTACTAATAATATAACTATTTTATAAAACTTTTTGACGCTACGCCTTGCTGTAGTGCGATGCACTAAATAACGTGATTTTAAGCAGGCATATTATGTTTTACGGATCTGTTGACGTATTGACATCTCTTTTTATCTGCAGGATTTCACGAAAACCTCTCGCTTTCTCGCACTCACTTAGAAAAGTGCACCATAGAAACTCGATCAACCAGAGCGCAGTGGCGTAACAAACAGAATGAAAACAATAAAATATTACTAAAATCGAATTTTATTTTTGTTAATTAATTTAAAATAATGTGTTTTTATTAAATGTAACGGGGTGTTCACTGCACAAATAAACCAACTGAGAAACCACTCCTATATTGAGTATAAAATTTTTAAAAGCTGTTTAATAAGTTGTTTGTAGTTAGCATTACACAATGTAATTTACAGTTCTGTATATGGGATTTCAAAATCAGTCGATTTGAAATTTAGAAGACATTTTCTTTAATATGTCACATCAAATAATATAAAAAAGTAATTTTTAAAAACATGTCTACACTATACCTATCTACTCATTTATCCTTATACAGTCATAAAAATAGTACTTTAAATCAACGGTTTCTTTATGTTTAACTTAATTTTTTTATTCTAGTATTGCTTGCAGAAAATTCCAAATAAAATTAAATGTTTTCGAATATTTTACTTATATAAACCTTAGTCCCTTGTACAAGTTTGTACAATTCCTTGACAGGGTGTATTCTATAGGTTCTTGGATCAACCCGTGGTGGTTCAAAAAGAGCTTGTTATGTCAATTGTTATTTTATTAATAACTTTTAATAATTTTTTCAAGATTTGCAGTATTTTCTTAGTGTGACCTAGATACTATAAAATATACTACACAACTTGAAAGGATTGTCCATATCGCGTATACGGCTTCGTGTGATTTGAAAATAGGATTTACTCTTGTTTCACAAACTATCGTTTTTGTTTTGCATTTATTTATTACATATTTACTTTGATAGGGATATTAAAGTACAAAACTGTACGTTTTACAACCAAAATATTTGTAATATATTGCTAAAACTTATTTTAGCAGTGCAGAAATTCCTTTACCTTATCTAATAAATACAGATTTTCCTCAATTTTTCCTCATCTCATCGAACATTTTATGCCTTCAAAAGATCTCATTAATTTTTGATTAATTTCGAACGATTTTATTTTTTTTTTTTTCAGTTCCTCCACAGAAGATCGTGATCCACGATGAGACTGGAAAGACGCTTACTACAGTCTTGGGACCCTACCCTGAAGGAGCGTCCTTTGTGTTACGGTGCGATGTTTCAGGAGGTAAGTACAGAGACGGCATAAACAAACAAGTTATTACTCAAAGTAAAAAAAATATATCAGAATTTATATAAAATATAAATTCATTTAGATTTAGTTTCAATTAAAAAGTATGAATGCGTCTTTTGGTATTCCAATACTAAAACATTGAAATTAGTCTTACATTTGATGTTAAAAAGACACATATCTTTGTAGTTTAGGTATATTTAATTTATTTATTTTATTACAGTATCCATTAGGGTTGCCCCTAATTACAGGATAAGGAAAGGAATATTACAAGAATTGGAAATGAATATAAATGATTATTCTTATCTATATACATATATAAACTTAAATCTAAATGAACACGAATTTAAACAGACACGGGTGCATCCTGAAAAAAAACTTACATTAGAAAAAAAGGATACATCCATTTCCGCCTTTAATAATTACTGCGCAAATTAATTTTACAGAATGATACTTCTAATAGATGCAACAAAGCAATTAAGAATATCTACATTATCTTCAATGTTCGAATAGTTTAGGATAATTTGAAATAGAGGCGATGCTTTGTATATGTTAGTTCTATGTGCTTGTTGATAGAATAGTTGATTTCTTCGGGAATTAACTCTAGGGACGTGAAAGTTTAACATTTCCAAACAAGAAATACAATCCACCTTGTTATTTAATAACTTGAACAGAAATATTACAGATTGCATTGCTCTTCTTTTTGAAAGACTACATGTATTGAAACGGTTTAAATGATAACTTTGAGGAAGTTATCTTATGGGATAGGTACCATCACTTAAGAGATAAGCTAATTTAAAAAATCTTCGTTGAACTCTTTCCAAATGGTTAATGTGATTGGAGTATATCGGACTCCAAACGATACTGGCATATTCTAATTTTGACAAAACCAGCGAAGGGAAAAGTATTTTCAACGTTGAAAAATCATTGAATAATCTCATATTCCTTATAACCTAAAATTCGATAAGCAGAAGCAGTTGTTTTTTCAATGTGCGATATAAACGTTAATTTTGGATCGAAAAAAACTCCAAGATCTTTAATCAGTTCTGGTCAATTTAATATAGAATTTTATAGGTTATAATTATATAGTATTGGTGCTTCCTTTCTAGTAAATTTCATTAAATTACATTTTTTAACATTTAACGGTAACTTATTTATTTTGCACCATTCGTTTAAGCGGTTAATATTCTTTTGAATCAATAAACAAACATTATAACAAGAGATTTCATAAAATTTTAGTTCATCGGCAAACAATAGATTTGTGACGCTCAAATTACAAACAATATCATTAATAAAAAGCAGAAATAATAAAAGCCCTAAAACCGAACCTTGCGGGACGCTGGATGTTTGTTTGAAATTCATTGCATTATGCCCTAAGCACTGAACATAAAGGTAACGATTTGATAGATATGACTGTAAAACATTTAATAAGGAGCCATGAAATCCAAGTGCTGAAAATTTACTTACTTATTAGAAGTTTGTGATCAATTCTATCGAATGCTTTAGAGAGGTCAGTGTAAATAACATCAACCTCACTTCTTCTATCCAAAACTTCAGAAATACCAGCAATAAAACCATGTTGGGTTTTTTTTTTTTTTTGGCTTGGGCACTTGCCATTCAGCCAGTCGCGGAATATATTATATAAGTTTAAATTGCATTATCACTCTAAATACATTCAACATTCAATCATACACACTTTTGTCCTAAGCAAGACAAGAAGAAAAATATAAAACAGAAGATAAGGCAAGCAAGGAATAAACAAAGGAAAACATGTCTTCTTGTCTAGGGGCATTTGTATAGGTGCTATGAAATCAACCCCTATCGATCCACTGCATGTCGAAGCATTAGAACCTCAATTATGCTATAGAAGAGAATATCTTAGCAACAAATTTCTAATAAAAGTCCGATGTACAAACCCTACCTTATATGCTAGTATTTGTAAATTAAATCATTTTGATTTAACCCAAAAATATTGGATACATAAACAATCTCCCCCACTTTGTGAAGCTTTTAGAAATATTAGCAATTATGAGGATCTCATCAGTATAGATCAGTGCTTAGATTTTGAGGATTTCTTTGCCTTTTTTAACAATGTTAATGTTATACAACCAATTTATCATGAAAATCATAAAATAAGTTCCAATATTTTGAACTCACAACTAGAAAACTGGCCTGATTCTACAAAGATCTACACAGATGCTTCTAAAACTTCAGCTGGTACAGGATGTGCCTTTTTCATCCCTTCTACATCTACAGAGAACGTTTTTAAGTTACCATCAAATTTTTCAATATTTAGTGCAGAAGCAATTGCTATATATGAAGCTATAAAATACTTTAAAATATCTAATAATAATACTGCAGTTATTTTATCTGATTCCCTATCTGTATTACTTGCTATTCAAAACCCAAAGCTTCCTTCCAATTCATCAAATGCTTATATTTTGCTCATTAAAAAGATACTATTCGAAATCCATAATACATCGAAAACGGTTCAATTAATATGGGTTAAAGCACATATAGGGCTCAAACATAATGAGTATGTAGATGTTTTGGCTAAAAGCGCAACTACCAATGGCTTACCGACAAGTTATCAGCTGTGCAATTTGGATGCTTTTGCAATTGAGAAACAACGTCAAATGAAAAATTGGAGAAAATCTTGGAAAGACTTTTGCAAAACCACTACAACTCAATATTCAAAAATACAACCAAAAATTCCGAATGTGCATTGGTTTAAAAACTATTCACTTCTTTGAAAGTATACAGGGTGTTATTGAAATACACGTACATATTAAAATGGGGAATAGTATGTAATGACCAAAAACGATTGGCACCAATTTTAACTTCAAATTCTAAAATTTAAATATTGGGGAAGAGTCCCCTTTTCCGACCTACTAGTTTCCATATTTAAAGAAGTAAAATAAATCGAAATTGAACTTACCCATAGAAATTGCACTGTTGCCGTAGCAAAACCAATTAATTCAAAATAAAGTTTATTACAGTAATTGTTCAAAATGCCGTCCATTATTATTTACACACACTTGCAATCGTCTTTCCAAAGAACTTTGAACATTAGAAATTAGTCTTGGATTTTGTCGTAGTTCCTCGGCTACCGCATTAACTTTATTGGTTAATTGTTCAACACTATTAATAGGTTCATTATAAACCAGTTGTTTCATGTGATCCCACAAAAAGAAATCGCATGGATTTAAGTCCGGAGATCTCGGAGGCCACTTAGTAGGTCCATTTCTGCCTATCCACTTTTGAGGAAATCTAATGTTCAAAAACTGCCGTACGTTTAAATCAAAGTGAGGAGGAGCGCCATTTAGTAGGTACCACATCCGTTGCCTTAATTGTAACGGTATCTCTTCTAGGAGTACTGGCAAAATATCTTCTAAAAAGTGGAGATATCCTTGCCCATTTAATCTGTTCGGGAGAACATAAGGCCCGATTAAATACTGATCTATTATGCCAGCCCAAACATTTATTGAAAATTTTCTTTGATGCCCAGTTTCCCTAATGGCGTGAGGATTTTCATCACTCCAAATATGCGTATTGTGCATATTGAACACGCCATCACGAGTGAATGAAGCCTCGTCAGTATACAATAATATTTTTAGAAAATCAGGAATATCAACACATTTTTGAATCATCCATTCACAAAACTCCACTCTCTTTTCTTCATCACCTGGATATAAGGCCTGGACTTTTTGGATGTGATAAGGATGTAAACCTTGTTCTTTAAGTGTCCGCCACACAACAAATGAGGACACTCCAATTTCAAGACCTAGTCTTCTACAACTTAATTGAGGCCGGTTTTCAACAGCTTCCAATATTTCTTCTTCGGCCGCCAATGTTCTTTGTGTTCTTGTTCTCCCTCGATCTGCATTGACACTCTCAAATTTTCCATGGTCTCTTAGATGCTGAACAGTTGAAATAAACGTACGACAGTCCGGAATTCTCCGATTTGGAAACCGTTCGCGATACAGGATTTGTGCTTGCCGAGAATTTTCTCCAGCTGCCCCATAAACCAGCACTATATCCGTTAGTTCAATATTCGTAAATAGTGGCATCGTAAAAAAATATTTAAGTAATCGTAACAACACTTTTTACCAACTTGGAAATGACGCGCTCGTGTTAGCCAGATTCGTAAATCAACTAAAATTTTAATAATCTATAGTTTCAAAAATGTATAGTTTAAAAACAATCATTTATCAAATATTTTAGTTTTTTGATAACGAGGGTAGTAAAAACCAGTCTTCGGAAATAGAAATTAATTCGAAAATCTTGGCAACATGGTTATTTCTTACAGGACTAGTTCTCTTATCATCTGACAAAAACTTGCATATTAATTACTGTTGATGTTTAAAATAGGTAAATAAACCTAATTTATATAGGTCATCCTCAACATATCAGTGAAGTACGTTTGTTTTAGAATTAATTTTCAAAAATTAATAACTCCCTTAATAAGGGGTATTTTTAAAAAATAATGTTTTTCTACATTCAGTGGGGATCTGCGCAATACCCAGTTTTAATATGTACGTGTATTTCAATAACACCCTGTATAACAACTATCATTAGATTGAAATTTAGACATGCATGTTATCCAGCACATTTATTCAAAATCCATGTTATAGTTTCGGAGATATGTACTATGTGTCAAGAGAAAGGCGATCTAAATCATATTTTCTTTAGTTGTGTAAACTATACCCAACAATCTCAAGATCTGATACAAGATCTAATTAAAAATAATGTATTTCCTCCATTTAACATTTGCCATCTCCTCTCACTTAATCAAACAAAAATTTACGACCTCTTGATAAAATTTGTGTATGAAAGTAAAGTATGTTTGTAATTAATATTAGTCTTGCAACCTATGTTCTAACTCAATTGTTATATACCTACCTTTCCGTGGCCTCGTTTTGTGTGTAAAAAAAAATGTCTTGACCATGTTGGGTTGGACTAATGATTTGGCGAAACTGAAATAAAAGGAAAGTATG